GGTCTTAAAAAATGCCAAAATGAATATAGTATATTTTTAAAGAAGCAACCTAACATATACTAACTGCTGAAATAAAGCAAAACAAAAACACCAACAGATACAGATTGATTTGTTTTGATGTGTCTCTGAACATTCCATCAGTTCTAATGACAGTTATTTAAGGGGCCAGTTTCATTCTTGATATTATTTTAGGAATGCACATTATTTATAAATTAGTAGATTTTCTTCAATGAACTGTTATTTAATAATATAAAGTTACTCTCTTCTGCATGGCAGTAGAGAAATTTCAAGCTAGAACTAGGAGAAATTTCAAAAATTTTAAACATGGGTACCAATTCTTATCTTTTATATGAATGGAACACTCCAGTAAGATATGCTTTTTCACAGATTATGAACTATATGTATTAGCATGCTCCCATTTTTGGTAAACATTTAAAGAGTGTATATCTGCATGAAAAAAATAAATGCTCATGTGGCTCGTTACTGGTGTCTCTTACCTCTAAGGCACTAGGTGCCAATCAGTAATAAGCCTCCTTGTCATCACCATGATAATCAAGATGCCCTGATGCATAATAAAACATTCTTTACGGGTTGAAGAAGAACCACTGAAAGCTACTGGTCAGAGCTAAGCATGGCATTCCTGCCCTCAGCTTCCCAGACTTTTGCATAGTTAATGGTAGCCTTGTGATCCCCTTAGGGGCACAATATGCTTCAGTGCACTTTATTTCCTATATGCTCTATTATATGTTATATATATATATATATATTTATTTATTATTTGTGTGATAAAAACAATAAAGGGAAAAGTCAGGTACACTTTAAAAAAGATCCTCGTCAGAGCTAAGCATGGCATTCCTGCCCTCAGCTTCCCAGACTTTTGCATAGTTAATGGTAGCCTTGTGATCCCCTTAGGGGCACAGTATGCTTCATTTATTTATTATTTGTGTGATAAAAACAATAAAGGGAAAAGTCAGGTACACTTTAAAAAAGATCCTCTAACACATATTCTAACACATCCTGTAACACATTATTTTAACATGGTAGTATCCTTCTGAGAAGACTATTTTAAAGCAGGACTCAGCACTTCAAGACTTCCCCCAAATATATTCAATTTTTCAGTGCATTGGTAAAAAACAGAAATTTTTCTGAACATTGTATGGAGAGAGAACAATGTACGTTACATACTGTATGCAAAGCTTAATATATATCTCCTTGTTAATTTTCCAGAATTCTTTTTCTGGTGCAACCCATATCACATTTCTTTTCTACTTTCCAAATTCGTCCCAACAGCTTTTCAGCTATACTGAGTCTTAGCTGCTTCTTTCTCATAGATTTTTCTCTTCAAACCTTTTCTGAGAGGATTATAATGATAGTTTTTAAAAATTTTCTGTATTTTGCCTTTTCACTCAACAATCTAATCAGCCAACAAAGGACTCCCTTATTCTTAGAAATCAGGAGCATTGTGAGTAATAAAGGCATTTTCCCTTTCATATACAATTGGATTCACCAGATATTTCACTTGAATTCTGTATATCTTTAAATAAAGTGATTCCTTTAATCAAATTTGTTTTGCTAGTAGTAGAGCATGTAAAAGCAGTTAGATTTAACTTAGATATATAGTGACACTATTTGTCCTGGTTATCTAGTCAAGCTTTCTTTTATATTTTAGTTTACTTAGAAATCTGGCCTAGTCAGAAACTAAAATAAAAAAAATTAGGAAAGATGAAACAAATAGCAAAATGTTTATAAATGTTGAAGCTGGATGGTGGGTACATGGAAATTCATTACACTGTTCTTTTTACTTTGTGTACATTTGAAATTTTGCATGATGAAAAAGAAAAATAATTGTGAACACCAGAAGGCTCAGATAAGATGTTGCAAATGCTGTCAGTTCTACCCAGTATTCACCTCACTCTCCTCACTCCTCCTCTTCCTCACATTTTCTGCTAACAGAACACAGATTTTGTTTGTAGTTGTAATGTGTCAACTCCAGTGCAGGAGCAGTGACGCTACTACCATTTTCTTATGTAGAGCTTGCCCTAAAATGCATGTGTGGATTGAGTGCTGGTTCTCAAAAAAGAATACCTGGTGTGAATCCTTACTTCTCGCTAACTGTCTGGGCAGCATTGACTATTTCCCAACCTTTCTGAGTTTTAATTTCCTCATCTGTGAAAGGATCATAATAACTTTACTACTTACGGGTTATCCAGAGGATCAAATGAGATTTACATATGTACAGCTAGTTTGCGTGTGGAAGACTGTTATTCTTTGTAGGCACCATGGTATTCTTTGTAGTGTCTGATATTTTTCATTGTGTTTTCAGTCTTATGTTTCTGCTTGGCTTCCTACTTGAATACACTTGGGGTGCAAAAAAGTTTATGATATTATAATGGTAGTTTGCATAACATGATGTTATGCATAACTATTTAGAGGTAGAAACACTACAGATAGATAAATGTTTTAAGCCCCCTCCCCACTTAAAAAACACATGCCCATAGACTAGGACACAAAAACCGTCTTACCAGTTTGTTCTTCCTGGAGTCACCCAAACTCTTCATAGAACTGATAGGTGTTCGTAGTTTCCACACAGCTGCAGTTGAACCTGTAGTTGCCTCCAGAGATCTGTCTTGGCTCCAGTCTGCTGGATAACTGCCTGTTTGGACAACTTTGCCTTGGATAATTTCCCTTTGTCTAACCATGGGACTCATAAATCCATGTATAGGGGGACAGATTTCAGAAAATGATATTTGGCCATAGATGGTTGCAATTTCAAGACCTTTTCAAAGGGTGATAATGAGAGATTTTTACTGGACAATGTAAGTTTTAAAACTTTGAAGATATATATCCTGGGATCCAGATCATTTATTCATCAATATAGAATATGCATTGCTTATCCATTAGCCTATCCTAAGATGTTAAGGTCATGAATAAGAATGTTCCACAGCCCATAAAATACCTCTCCTGGAGTATAACTTAACTGGGAGGGAATATTATTAAATATGTAGGAGTTCTATTTGGTTGTCAACTGAGATATAAAATGAGAAAGAAAAACCCATATCCTACATAGTGTGTTTTCCTTACAATATTAAATGTTTAGAAAAGAATATGCCAACAAGGATTTTTTGCTTTTTTTTTCTATCTCTTCTTTATCCCTGAATTTTATTTTTTGTTTCAATCATTGAGATCTGACTGAATGACCTGAGTGATTATCTCTTCTGTAAAATATGTGAGATACATTTATAGCTTCCCAAACAGTTACTATGCTTGAGTGTAGGTCCAGAGTCTTTACAAAGGAGGACATAGCTGTATACTATTCCAAAGGAAAAAGAAACAATGTCAAGAGTCATCAGAGAGATTTAGAGATGATTTCTGAAGGATTTCCAGATTTCAACAAATTTGTTTTACCCTGGATAATGGTAGAATTCATCTTAGCCAAAATGCAACTGGTCAATCTGTTACTTCCTATATGGAAGGCGAATGTTCAAGTAAATTATATAATTGTACATTACAACTTTGCTTCTGCCGTTATAAATTCAGTTATATCCCAGACTGAGGCTAGTTCATGACTGAGCCAAGTTTAATGTTGCTCAGCCAGTCTGTCTTGTAGTTACAGCCAACGAAAAAGTGAGCTCTCTTGTGTGTTTTTCTTACCTGGCTTATTGGAAACAGGAATTTTGTTTTGACTCGTTAGTGGATGTCACTTTATCCTGATTTGGAGAATCAATCAGGAAGACTTTCTAGAGTAGCCTATTAGAAATCAAGAGTCTAATAGGAAAATGTAACTCTTCCTTTGCATTAATTTTTATTTTCTTCTGAATGAAATTCTTGGGCTTCCCAGGGGCCTTGGTGGTAAACAATCTGCCTGCCAATGCAGGAGATGTGAGTTCAATCCCTTGATCGGGAAGATTCCTTTGAAAAGGAAATGGCAACCCACTCCAGTGTTCTCGTGGGGAAATCCCATGGACAGAGGAGCCTGGCAAGCTGTAGTCCATGGGATCATAAAAGAGTCCGATAAGACTTAGAGACTAAGTAACAACAACAAATGAGATTCTTAGTATTAAAATTTGTAGAGAATATGTAAAAACTAAAAATAATTACATGGACCTTTTAATTTTATCACAGTAGTATTGTACCATGAGAGAGCTGAACTCATGGTCTCATTGGGTGGTGCTTGTGAAATGGTATAGAATGTTCCCTGTCTTATCATGTTGGCAGAGGAAATTACACCAGTGCCTTCATTGTCAGAATGATACAGCACCTCTGAGGAAAGGGATTGCTGCCTATTAAAAATTGGTTGGAGTGAGCTATGCCAAATGTTGAGTGAGATTTATTGAATACAAACAGTGCAAGATTTCTGTGCATTTTGGTTATGAGAAAACAAAAATGTTGATAAGAAAACAAAAATACAAATAGAAAAATAATAATCATTTCTTGGGTCCATCTATGAAGCAACCGGATAAAGTCTAAAAGGAATGGAAAATTCCTAAAAAAGAAATAGAATTTACTGTCAGGGAAATGTTAATCTAACTGAGGCAGGTAGGTAATATTATTCATGCTTTACAGTAAACAATAGCTGAGACATGATACTTCTTACGATCTGTCTGGTTGTTTACCAGTGGTTTTGTTTCCTTTTACTTGGCTTGTGAGAATGTGTTATGAATATACAATTATATTTATCTTCTCTAAAATTTCAGTGTTTAGAGCATTGCGTTCTAAGATTAAAATGATACCTTTTAAATATGGGCCATGATGTTAGAATATTAACCTTAAGATTTATTTTTCATTGTATGAGTGATGTCTAAAATAGTTCAGTTTTTTGTGATTTATCTTTTTCATGATATATATTGACCCTTGTTTGGAATTGTCAGATTTTGTTCCTTGTAGCAGATTCACAAAGAAAACTTTTTAAAATAGTGTGCTGACCTTTATGTAAGCCTCATGTAAAAGAAGAAAAATCTTAGTTTTTTTTTTTAACTGAAAAATGTATTACCTTTCTACAGATGTCAGCATTGAGCTGTGCAGATCGCTTCATAAGCACTTGTACTGTGCTTAATTGCTGAGTCATGTCCGACTCTTTTGTGACCCCATGGACTGTAGCCCGCCAGGCTCTCCTGTCCATGGGGACTCTCCAGGCAAGAATACTGGAGCGGGTTGCCGTGCCCTCCTCCAGGGAATCTTCCCCACCCAGGGACTGAACCCAGGTCTCTTGCATTGCAGTCGGATTCTTCACTGTCTGAGCCACCAGGGTAGCCCAGTAAGTACTTGAGGAACCCTGAAAATGGTTACTTTTTGCTGTTATTAGTCAGTAATTGTCTTATATCTTGTGTCATTTATATTTAGGATCATGGAGTCTTGGGTAGAGAATTAAAGAGAAAAGCAACAAAGGATCAATTTAAAAGCACAGTTGTAGCAATGAATAAGGGTAACTTTGTACTAATTAAAAATTTAATAATAATGAGTTATGAAAGTTGCAAAGTAAAGCTACTGTAGAATTTTCAATTAGGCATGTGAATACATCTTATAGCAAGGTCTGATGCTGTAAAGAGCAATATTGCATAGGAACCTGGAATGTTATGTCCATAAATCAAGGCAAATTGGCCGAAAAATTGATGCTTTTGAACTGTGGTGTTGAAGAAGACTCTTGAGAGTCCCTTGGACTGCAAGGAGATCCAACCAGTCCATCCTAAAGGAGATCAGTCCTGGGTGTTCATTGGAAGGACTGATGCTGAAGCTGAAACTCCAGTACTTTGGCCACCAAAGACCCTGATGCTGGGAGGGGTTGGGGGCAGGAGGAGAAGGGGACAACAGAGGATGAGTTGGCTGGATGGCATCACGGACTTGATGGACATGAGTTTGAGTAAACGCCAGGAGTTGGTGATGGACAGGGAGGCCTGGCGTGCTGTGATTCATGGGGTTGCAAAGAATCGACCCGACTGAGCGACAGGACTGAGCAACTGAACTGATACATCTTTTATTTTTGTAACCACTACTGGCCATAATTCATTAAGATACATTATAAATAAACCTCCAGTGTATAATTGACATACAAATGGTCATTTTGTAAGTAATTGTTTACAGGTTGGCAGTGTAATGTGTTAATTTAGTGTACTGTTAAGTTACTACAGTGTGATAGAAAATTGTAGTATTTTAGATTGCAGTCTAATAGACTTTTGGACTGTTAATCCCTCAGGAAGTAGATAGATAGGGATCCACTAAAAGTCATTTAATCTTAGTTAAGGACATTTTGACTTCATATTTTAAATTGAGAACCTAGAACTAGGATTGTTAAATGCTAATCAGTGTGGAAAACCAGATGTGTTCTTGAATGCTTCTTTTTTGTTCATCAAAAACCAGCCTTCTGAAAACTGACAATGTCCCTTAGTCAAACTGTATAGGAAATAGTTTTATCTTTGAAAACTGTTGCTTTCATTTCTCTGATCTTCACAGTTCATAGAAATATATATATTTCCAGATTGACTGCTTTGAAGAAGGTAGGCAAATATGAGTTATATATATTTTTAAACAATTAAGTCAGTAATAAATAAGTTGGTTTTACTCTTCTAACTAGGAAGACTGAGAAACTTCTGCTGAAAGGAAGTTACACTACTTTTTAATTTTTTCTAACCAAGAAGCAAAGAAGAAAATTTTTTTCCAAGAGTTTCTTTCACCTTTGTCAATGTTACATGGTAGTTTGGTGCTTTTTTTTCTTTTTTTTTTTTGAAAGTAGGTGCTTCTCCTAGTTTATGATGCAGCAACAAAAGTGTTCAAAAATCTCCTACCAGTGGTAATGGTACTTTTGAGGAAATAAGAGATTGGTGTTTTTTTGCTAGTAGATGATAGGAGGTAAGATGACCTCAAATAATGCTGCTACTCAAAGGGGACACATTCTCTTCAAATTGAAGGGATTTTTCTTAGATTTGAAGGATGAAAAGAGTAAACATTAAAAAAAAGTTAATTCATTTCATCATTTTATGAATTAAACATTAGTTGAGGCATTTTCCCTCTTAAACATTATAGAAGACAAATCACACATGATTAGGACAAATATAAGACTATTAAGGGCATAAATTAGAATTTCCAGAAGCTCTGACTGATTAATGAATGCAGGATTTATTTTGAAGACCTTCTGGTAACCTTAGCTGTAATGTTTGCTTCCACAGAAGGCTCGAGTTGGGGAAGGAGTCCACATGGTTCCTTTAGGTCATAGCTGGCATTTAAAACTGATTTTCAGCTTGGGGCTCACACTTTTATTCCAAACCTGAACCTTTTGGCATCAGAGCTCATATTCTTATGGCCAATTTGGATTTTTAAGAAAAGAAGCTAGCTTAAAAAAATCTCTTGGACAGCAAATAACTTTTAAGAAACAACATTTTAATGATTTAAATGGAAGCAAACCAGAAGAAGCTGGATTAAATTTCTCTTTAAGTATATGTGTTTAGTGATTAAGAGGAAAAAGTGGCTGAAAAAATGCTGTCTGTTATTTTCCTTCAAAACCCCAAATAGTTGAACAGTAGAGTAGCTCAAAAGATTTGAATTGGGATATCTTTGTGGAAAATATTTCTGGCAATTAAAGTACTGTTAATAAAAGAATGAGAGATAATAAACTCTTTAACAGTGAATTTTGAATCTCTGTGTTTTCTAAAGATTCATCTTAGTGATAAAATTATTTTATTGAAGATTCTTCAGAGAAAGGCTGATCTGACTTAAGAATAAAGAGAAAAATAAGAAAATATTTGGGGAAAATCATTGTGAATTAGGGTTTTCCTGGATGGCACTTGCTGTTTTTGTTTCCAAAAGCTTTTTAAAGCCAAGCTATTTCTAAGTGTATTTTCTTAGCCACCGTAGACTTTGCATATGAATGGGAGAGGTTGAGAAGACTTCTTTCAAAGAGAAAAAATTTTCGAAAATGTGGACTTGATTTAGATGGTGAAAAGTATTGTTAAAGAAAGACGGGGAAAGAAATCTATTTTAGTAGAAACTTCGTAGAGAGGCAGAAGTTTGGATTTGAGGAGGGTCAGTAAATACTGTTCCTGTTTTAATGTTTTGCGTGAACTGAGAAATGAAATAGAGGTGATGGGAGATCAAAATACCATCTTTATGTTTCATAAAGTTAATGTTGACAATTGTAGTTTAACTGTGGGAGCAGTGGGCTTCCTCTAAAGAGAGCCAGGCAGCTTTCCCCACCCAGTCCCAAACAGCACAGGATTGGGCAGGCACTGCCTGGCAGGGTCAGAGCTGCCCCATGCAACCTTCAGTGTGGGGAAGGAGCAGTGTTTTCTTTCTGCAGTCATCTTGTTTCCAAGGGAAAGGGAAGAGGAAATGAGTTGAACATGCCATTTTCTTTTTCTTAACATTTTCAATCAGTAAGTCTGTGTGCCTCCCTTGGTGAAGAGGGAGTAAAGTTTTGGCAAAAGCCCAAGAATGTTCTTTTCATGGGGTTCCCTTCACATTGGAAGGAAACATCAAGAGCAGGAGAGAAGTGATTTTTGAGATTTTTGTTCTTTTAACCCAGAGGTTCTAAAGCAGGATTGTTATCTTCCCCTAGGGACGTTTTTTGTTGTTAACAATGATCACAGAATACTAAGGGTGTATAGTAGGTGAGTGGGGGGGAGGAGGGTCAAGGATGCAAGATACCCTGCAATGCGCAGAACATCACAATAACGCTCCCTAGAGACTCCCTGAAGTGATCCTCTGTGGGGTGAGGGTGAGAACAACACTCTGTCAAGAGTATTCTTGCTGCATTTTCCTGAGCGGCCCTCTCATTGCAACTCATTTCTTCTTTGTGGATCCTCTTTGAGCAGCTGATGGCAATATAGATTTTTCTCCTAGCAGGCCCTGAAATGGGTCATAACCACACGTTGCTTAAATAGACTTGAAAGCTTCCTTGTACACAGGTGGAAATATCACCCTAGACTAGTTCCTATAAAAAATGATCTGCAGTGTTGTCCAACATAGTTTAGAAACTGTAAAATGAAATCATGTTGTAAAATAAAGTGGAACTATGTTAAGATGTTCCTAGAACAAAATGTCAAAAACTATGCTTAAATTTGAAGATAAGCACCCTCCCATTATAAATATTTTGGGGAGAAAATGGATGTTCAGAGATTCACCCTCTGTAAAGAATAAGAGGAATTAAGATAGAATATCAAAAAGATTTTTGCACTTGTGAATTATAGTTAAATAAATTGAAGTTTTGTATTAACGTTAAATTCTCATTCTCAGCTAGAAGGCGCTTGATGTAGAATTTTTTTTTTTTTTTTGTGGTTGTGGCTTATACTGTTTCTCACTGGAATTGGTGAAGTTTCTTCCAAGTCTCAGGAGTTTTATTGATTGAGTCAAATATCTGATAAACCTTATTTTTAAGGAATATTCTAAAGGACCAATAGGCCATCTAACATTGTGACAGCACTTAGGTAGATCCCAAGTACTGAGAACAGCTGTCCCAGGAAAAATTATGTTCCTTAACATCTTATATTCAGTGGTTTCTGAAGGTCCATCCTAGAAACTCAGTGGCATCTTTATCAGCCAGGGACCCTGTAGGGAATAGATAGCACACTTCTAGTTGGGATAATCTGAGGGGAATTTAATAAGATTGTGGGTGGTAAGAATCCACAGGGAATACTGTACATCCTGTGGCTACTTATTAGGAGGCTGTTACCACTCCTAAGCCTGAAGAGGGAGGGGAGAGATTCATTGGGACCCTGAAAGTGAAAGGATTGCGGGAGAGGACATCCCAGTAGTGGCAGAGAGCGAGCTTGGGGAGTATATTTTCCAACCTTACTGTCTTCCCTTCCTCCAGTCTGCAGCTGTTGGCTTCCACATGACTGAACCAGTCAGAAGCCAGAGGGTACAGGAGCCCTTCAGTGGAAGCACAAAATGAAGGTATCTGGCATAGTAACTGCAAAATGAAGGGAAAAAGAAAATCTTGTTTCACTTTCACCTGGATGCCAGTGGAGCCAGACATCCAGTATCCGTGACCAGTGAATTTAAACTTGATTGGGAGAAACCCCTTAAGAACAGAATAATTTTGACAACATGGATTTACTATATTTGGAGGAAAAAAATACCTATGCATACTT